GGGAAGCGGCCTCCGGCGGCCCTCCTGCTCTGTGACCGAGGTTCCGGCGAGCCCCCCGGCCAGTGGCCCGTTCCCAGCCCAGGTGGGTGGCCGCCCTGCCTTGCCCCCAGGGGCCTCGATTCCGCCTTTGGTGCATTGGACTCACGGATGGGGAAGGACTTCTGTCCCCTGAGCACTGGGGCCTCTGCAGGGGAGCGAAGGATATCGCGAGTGGGGGGGGGGGCCCTGACAGGTGGCGGGTCCCGTCTGTGGGGCCTCTGAGCCCGTGTGTGCAGAACCCCCTTCCAGCCGAGGGCCAATGAATTCCCGCCAAAGCCCTCCAGAGCTGTGCGGGGTCCGTCCGAAGGGTGCCGTGGGGGCGCCGGAGCAGAATGAGGCCTATTTGAGCTAATTGGAAGCATAACAAACTCTTGCCCCCACCCTGCCCTCGCTGGCCCTAAACGCTTCCTCTGGGTTTTCTGGCCCATTTGGGGCTGGGGGAAGTGAATGCAGCACCGAATCGGTATGCCTGGGTGGGGAGAGAGCAAGGCAAGTGGGGCAGGGCGTGAGCCTGCCCCCCAGGTCCCCTGGATGGGGCTGGCCGCTGGCCCTCGGGGTGGCCCACCTCGGGGTGCTGCATCTGGTGGGCCTTTCTGCCGAGGAAGAGCCGGCCGAGATGGCTCCGGCCAACTTGGGCAACCTCCCAGGAGGCGCCCCGCTGGTGCCCTGCAGGCTGCAGCTGGCCCGGTAGAGCGCGGCAGGCCGAGGGGCCGAGAGACCCCATGCGGCTGCAGAGCGCGAGGCTTTGGGTGCCGCCCGTCTCCCTCCCTGCTCCACGTCCATCTCCTCCGCCGCGCACAGAGAAAGCAGCTTCTGAGGCAGAAAAATGCGCCTCCCGGCGCTCACGCTGGGAAGAAATGGGGCAGAAAAGCGTCCCTTTCTGTGTGCAGAGCGAGGCCGAGGGATCCCGAGCGCCGGGGTGTCCGGCCCTCGAGCCGTGGGCAGTGTGCAGGCGGTCTGGGGTCCGGAGGCTGCCGCACGGCTGCGCCCCTCGAAGGGCTCCCCGGACCCATTTGCTTTCCAAGGTTCTCCTTGGCGGCCCCCTTTGCGCCGCACACGTCCAAATATACAGCAGGAGCGGGAAGGCGTTATGCACTGCGGCTCATAATCCCTTCCTGCTGGCTGGGGCTGCTGGGATATGTAGTCCAAAACACCTAGAGGACACCAGTTGTAAAGTCTCGCGTGTATCTGGGTAGTGCTTTACTGCAGCCTTCTCTGTCCTGGTGTGCTGGACTGCAGCTCCTATCATCCTCATCCCGTGCAGCCAGGGCATCTGTGCGATGGCAGGCTGGTGTCAGCCTCTGCGGGAGGGGGGGCTCGGCACTTTGAGCGGTGCCCCCACCTGCTGGGCTGCCGGTTGAAAATGGGTGTGTTTGTGCCGCGCGTTTGAGCCGAGCCTCGTTGAGTTTCTGCCAGCCCTCGTATCACCGCCGTGTCTGGCAGCGTGGCTGCAGCGCCCTCTCAACCGCAGCGCGAAGACCTGCCTCTCCCTCCGTTCGGGTCAGGCGGGTCCCTGGCCTTCCCCGCCGTCCTGCTCCCTTTTCCTTCCCTGGGTTCCTCGTTTGGGATCAGGGCCGTTCCGACCTAATCGCGGAGCGTTGTGCAAGGCAGCTCGGCTCCTCGGCAAAACAGGCATGCCCTCAGCTGCTTGTGACCTACCTGGCTAAATCTGGGGAGCTGCTACGTGCGCTTTCCACTTGCCCTTCTCCTCTTCCTCCTCCTCCTCCTCCTCCTCCCCCGCAGCGGCTCGCCACACATACACTGAGCAGGTGAAGCTGTGGCTGTCGCTTGACCTGAAGCAGGTAGGAAAACCTCCGCCTGCACTTCCAGCCTGCCTGGCCCGCGGCTGGCGGAGGTGCAGGCAGGGCACCTGGACGGCAGGTGTGTGGAGCACAAGGCCGTTGGAGGGTCTGGCCGCGCGCTGTCTCTCCTCGCCAGCTGCCGGAGCTCCCCCGGGCTCGCCGAGGCCGCCTTCGAAGGGGCTTTGGCAAGGCAGTGGCCGAGGCAAACCAGCCCGGTTTGAGCAAGGGGCGGGCAGCACTGGCCGAGCGCAGAGCCCCAGGCCATAGGTGCCGGGCTCTCCGTGGCTGGGGCGGATCCCGCACGGAGGAGACGTCCCTCCGCAAGCGTTGGGGGAGGCAGCCCCCAGGACAAGGCGGTTTTCCTCTCCGGGGGCTGCTCCTGTTTGTGCCAGCCTCTCCGCTCACCTTGACAGCAGCCGGGACGGCCTTTCCTGGAGGGCCCCGGGCCCATCCCAGCGGGCCGTCAGCTCTGCCTGCCCTGATTACGCTCGGTCGTGCTGGTTGTCGGTTCTGCCTTTATTGACTTGTGAGGCTTGTGGGGGTCATGGCTCGGGCTGAGCAGCGTCTCCCCACTAGCAGCCAGGCGGGCGCTCCGTGCCCCGAGTGAAGAGCCCTCGCATCGAGCGTGGGCTTCCAAGCACCGCCAGAGGAAACCATGTTTGCTTTTCCAAGCCCAGCTCAGGGAGGGCTGGGGGTGCTTAGGCCCTGCTTTCCGGGGGGGGGGGCATGAGGCGGGGAGATGGCTGGGTGCCTGCAGGCGCAAATTGCTCTCCGGGAGGCTCCAAGGAGAGGGGCCATGCTGCCAGGTCTCCCAGTCAGACTCGGAAGCGGAAACTGCAGTGCTCTGCTCGGCCCCGCTGTGGCTGCACCGTTCCGGAACCTGCTCCGAACCCCGTCCTCCCAGAGAGCCCCCTCCTTGTGGGATGGGCACCCGCCTGCTCTCCTTCCGGTGTTTATGCCGGGACCAGCTCCACCCCGCAGTGGCTGCTTTTCAGGTCGGGCTTCATACCGGCCCGCTCTCTCGTCAGTCAGTGTGGGGAGGAGCTGGGCGTGTCCGTGGGCCAGGCACGGAACCGGCTCGAGGAGGCTTCTGGCCCCGGGTGGGCCCAACCAAGCGACGCAAGGCCATGCCTTGCAGGCTCCATGGTCGGCACCGGGGATGGGGGGAGGGCAGGGGCCCAGTCCAGCTCTTGGGGCTCCCGTGACCCTGGCTGTGGTGCAGCGGAGGGACCCAGAATTTCATTTTCGTGGCTCAGCTGCGCAGAACTCCGGAGGTCGTGGCGCCCACCGCTCTAGATGGCATTACAAAGCCAAGAGCGATGCCCTGCTGGTTCTAAGCCTGCACTCGGAGTTAATTCCTTTTCCTCCCCTGCCTAACCCCCGCTGTCCTCTCCCCTGTGCAGAATGGCTGCCTGGAAGCTGTTTGGGGCAGAGGCCTGCCCAATGCCATGTGCCCAGGAATGCTGCTGCTGTAATGACGCTGAGCATTCAGATGTGGGTCACCAAGCAGAGGCAGGCGCTTCCAGCGGCCCCTTTTCCCCATCCCTGTCGGCGCGTTTCCGGCATCCAGCAGGCTGGCCGCCCTGGGAGCGAAGGAGGGGCATGAGCCAGACCCGGTGGATCAGCCGTTTCCCGGCCGGTGCCGCCAGATGTGTGGAAGCCCGGGTCGTGTCGTCTTCACCTGCAGTCCCGGCACCTGGAGGGCCCTGGCTGGCACGGGGGGCAGGAGACTGCGGTCCCGACCAGCCAGACGGCTCTGTGCGGAAGTGCCGGGTTCCCTGTGGGAGTTTGGCGGTTGGTCCCTGGAGAGGTTGGTCAGGCCTTTGCGTGTGAGTCTCCCCATGCGTGGTGGCCTGGCCGTGCTTGAGCTCCCTCCCGCCCCCCCCGCCCCCCCGCCCCCCGTCGTGCGTTTGGAGCTGCGGGCCAAGTCCCGCCTTCGGCTGCGCACAGTCCAGCGAGGGGCCGCAGCCCGCCTGCCGCGGAGGCTCCTGGCCCAGGGCATCCTCCAGGCCCGGGCCCAGCTGGGGGGGCGCCCTGGGCCACCCTGCCGCGGCCACTGCTGCTGCGGCTGCTTCCCTCCATCCCGTAATCCCCTTGGGCTAAAGCTCCTTTGCACCTAAGCTCGTTAAGGCAACCAGCCTCCTCGGGAATGTTCTGGGACAGGGAGCCTCTGTCAGCCCTGCGCAGAAGGCGCCCCACCCTGCTCAGCCCGGACCCAGGCCGGGCAGCCCCCTGCTCCCTCCTCTGCCGCTGGGCTGCCACCCCCGGCTGGCCAGCCAGCGGGCTAGGAGGCCCTGCCGCCTCTGGCCACTGCTCCACAGTGCGCCTGGCCTGAGCCAGGGCTGGCCAGGAATGATAGGCACTGCAGTCCAGCCCCTCTGGAGGGCGCCAGGTTGGGGAAGGCTGGTCTGTGGCTCGTGGCCACTCGCCTCTGCCCATAATCCCTCCCGCTCCCAGGAATGATGTGTGGAGTCCTGGGCTCCCTCGACGCGCCACCCCGGCTCCCTCTGGGGACCGTGGCTCGCGCCTGCCGCTGCACGTCTGGTTGGAGCCAGGCCGCCCCGCTCAGCCGGGACAGGTGCAGTGGGAAGGGCCCGCACCGTGGGGTCTCTCTGTGTGCGTATTCTCCCCGCTTGGTACTCCTCCTAGTGCTTGGCGTGGGAAGGCAGGGGGCTGCCTGCCGCGAGGAACAGGGCAGTGCCCAGAACTGATTGTGCAGTACAGAATATAGTAATTAGGATGTTCTGGTGCTCTGTTTAACTCTGGGTGGTGGCATTTTAAAAAAAAATAAAGCTGTTTTGAAGAACAGGGCTTGGGTACCTTATTTATTGATTGGCTTATTCAGCAAGGCATGCAGCGCGCCACATCCGAGAAGATGTGTGTCCGAGGTTCACAGAAGCCCTTTAAAATATCCAGTTCTCAATGCACAAACGATCCGTTAATATGTTCGCTGCATTCAGAACCGGAGCAAAAAGCTCCGTGCTTGCGAAGCAGCCCAGCCGGATGGCCCACGGCTCACGGACGACCCACGGCTCAGGGGAGGAGGGGGGCGAGAGGTGGGTTTCAACAGGCACGGAACGGGTGGGGGGGCGAAGAAGCAGCCCCCGCTTTGGTCGTGCGTCTGGCCGCCCCCAACCCTCTCCTCTCCACCCCCCACAGCACCAGCGCTGCCCCGTGGTGACGCTCGACCCGGCGCCCATCCCGGTGACGCCGCCGCTGTCCCCGCAGCCCTCCACCCTGGCCAGCAGCCGCTCGGAAAAGGGCTCCTCATGGTCCAGCCGCTCGCTGGGCGCCCGCTGCCGCAACTCCATCGCCTCCTGTGCCGACGAGCAGCCGCACATCGGCAACTACCGGCTCCTCAAGACCATCGGCAAGGGCAACTTTGCCAAGGTGAAGCTGGCGCGGCACATCCTCACCGGCCGAGAGGTGAGCAGGCGGCGCGCTCGGCTCGGGGGCACGTGCCGCATCGGTTGGGAGAAGCGGGGCCGAGGGGCCGGCGGCAGAGGCTGCGTGAGCGCCGCGTGGGGTGGGCAGGGGGCAGCCGGCAGGAGCTGTTCCACCCTCTCCCAAGAGCCGGGCTTCTCTGTCGCCGCCGAGTGGAGGAGGAGGCCCTTTGCCCGCAGAAGGGGCTAAGGGACCCCCGTGCCACCGTCACACGGGCGATGCAGAGCCCCCTGTTCCGCCTGGAGGGCTCAGTGCCGCTGGGGAGCGGGGCCCTTCCCTCCGGGGCCACTCGGCCCCAGGCACACTGCGGAGGGCGCATGGCTCGGGTGGGACACATGCCCGCGCGCACGAGTCCCTGGGCAGGAGGCTCTTGGGGGGGGACGGAGGGGGGGAGGGCGCTGTGGCGCGTCGGCACTGCCCAGGCCAGGCTGGCTGTCCCGTGGGGCTGACTCCGTGGCAGGCTCCTTCGGGGCAGCCAGGGAGGGAACGTCGCTTCCCCCACCCTGCCTTAAACCACGGGAGCGAAAATCGGCATCGCATCTCTCCAAGGTGGCGATCAAGATAATTGACAAGACGCAGCTGAACCCCACAAGCCTGCAGAAGGTGAGTCCGTGTGGGGCCGCCTGGCCTGGCCGTGGGGGGCCGTGCCGCCCGTGTTTTGCCCCCAGCAGAGGGAGCGGTGGCAGACTGGTCTGTGCAGTGGGGGGGCCCCCTTGGATCGCGGGGGTGCACCTGCGGATCAGGCCCTGGAGGTCCGAGGTGGTCCGGGGCAGGGGGCCGCTCTGCCTGCGGGGGGGGGCCAAGTCAGGCCCAGCGGGCACCCGTTTCTCAGGAACGGCTGGCTGGCGAGGGTCCGGGGAAGCCCGACTCTGCTCAGAGCCCGACGGGCTGCCACGGGCCAGAGCTGGGCTGCCTTCCCCAGCAGGGAGTGCCTAGCTCTGTGGGACTGCAATGCCCATCTTCCTGGACAGGAGCTCTCGAGGCTGGCATCCGCCCACAGCACCGGCAGAGTTCCACAGTGCTTCTGATTTTGGGGGGGGGGGGCAGGGGGCGCATCTTGCCACTTCCCTCGGCCGTCTGCCCCTGGCTTTCCACAGAGGGGGGGCTACAGGCAGTCTCCCCCCCCCCCCCCCCTTCCCCCCCGGGCCCCGGGGGGGGGGGGGGGGGGGGAAGGGGGCTTTTTCCCCCCCCCCCCCACTGCCAGCCCCTTCCCTAATTAGCGCCTGGAGTCCAGGTTGGTCGCCGTGGCAACGGCGGCTCTTTCTAGCGTCTCGCTGGGGGGGGGCAGGGGGCAGCTAATTAGCAGCCGGATTTTCCAGGCCAAATGAGCGTGAGGGGAGGGGGCGGGCAGCAGGAGGGGGCCCTGCCTGCAGGAACGGATGTCGATGGCTGCCCCCTTCAAAGGGCTCGTTCCCCTGGCAGGGAACTCCATGCCCGGGGGGGGGCAACCCCCCGTCCCACTTTTGAGCCTGGACTGGCCCCCCGGTGTCCCTGCACAGCGGAGGGGGGCGCATCTCAGTCCCAGCCCCACGTGCTTGTCTCCCCCCTGAAGCTGGCCTCCACCGCCGTCACCAGGCAGGGTGCTGCTTGTACCCAGAAGTGCAGCACGATCCTGAAATAAGGGGGGGAATTTAAGGAGCCGTTTAAGGAGCACTTAGCATCCGTCTCCGCCTCGCCCACTCGGTACTTTCAGCCCTGGCTTCAAGTCTTACTACTGACAAAAGGGCCTCTGAACATGTGCAGAGTGCTTTCTTGCCGTGGCGGCTTCGGCATGGTTCCCAGGATTGGCGGGAAGCCACGGAGCCGCCGCCTCTCTCGGCGATGCCCCTCCGGCATGGAGCGCTTCCCTCCGCGGACACGGCCCTGCAAGGTGCCCCGTGGGGGGCGGGGAGGCTGCCCCCGAGGGCTGTGGCAGCGGGAGGAGGGCCGGGCACGCATCGTGCCATTTGGGGGCAGGGGAGGGGGGCGGCCCGGCCCCTGCGGGGCGGCTGATCCGTGTTGCTGGCTTGCCTCTTGCAGCTCTTCCGGGAAGTCAGGATCATGAAGGGTCTTAATCACCCCAACATTGGTAAGTGGGCAGGAGCCGGGGGGGGGCAGCGCGCGGGCCGGGGGGGCGCCAGGGACATCCCACCCCACGCCTACTTCCCGGCGTGGACGTGGGCCTTGGCCCGACCCTCTCGCTCCGCAGCACCTTCCCTCGCGTGCTGGGAAGGCCGGCTCCCAGCCGGTGGCCGGCCCGCTGGGAACGATGGGCACCGTGGTGCAGGCCCGCAGGACGGGGGCCGCTGAGGTGCAGCCTCACTTCCCCGAGGGGGGCCCTCTCTGCCACCCCGTAGCCATGCTGGCTGGCATGAGGGGAACTGTAGTCCAGGCCCCCGGCGGAGGCTGGCGCTGTGGCCTGCCGGGGCTGGAGAGACCCGGCCCTGTGCCGCCCCTCGGCCTCAGGAGGGTTTCCTCCATGTCTGTCCCCCCGAAAACCCGCGGGGCAGATTCTGAGCTGGATCGCTGCGAGGCGCGAAGGCTTCTCGGGGCGCCGCTGCTGAGGAAGCTGAGGGGGCCCCCCTTTCTTCCCTGCAGTCAAGCTCTTCGAGGTGATCGAGACGGAGAAGACGCTGTACCTGGTGATGGAATACGCCAGTGCTGGTGAGCCCGCTGCCCGTCGCACCCCCCCCCCGCGTCCGCTGGCATTGCTGGGGGTGGGCAGCCGCTGGTCCCCGTCCCCATCCCCCCCCCCCCGGTTCGGAGGGATGCGGCTCCTTCCCCCCTGCGCCGCCTCCTCTCCCGCTGCTGCAGCCTCGTTCGTCTGGAGCTGCTAAAATTACTCCCCCCGACTTAAAATATCCCTGGCTCTCCACCCCCACGGCGCTGCCTTCCTGGCGGCTGAGCTCTGGGCGACAGCCTGCTGGTGGCAGCCGGCACGGCACGGCACGGGGAAGGACCCCTCGTGTGCCCCCCACAGAGGGGCCGGGGCAGCCGCAGCCTGCTTTGCCCTGCCCGGTTGCTGTCTGAAGCCCTCGCCTCGGAAGCAGCTGCCCGGGCGCCCGTGGCCGTGCGGAGCCGGTGCCCGATCCACCCGTTGCCCAGAGATCGGGGTGGTGGAGCAGAAGACGGAGGCTCCCGAGGGGGCCCTGTGCTCGTCCGCCCTCGGGGGTCTCCATCCTCTCCCGCTATCCCCCTCCCGGTCCTCTCTCGCTCACACCGCTGTGTGCGGACATCTCTGCTCGAAAAGCAGCGAATCTGCCTTCTGCCGCCACACTCGGGTCCGAAGGCCTGAAGTTGCCCTGGAGGCCCCGAGACAGTTCGGCCCTGGGGCCCGATCGGGAAGCGCCGTGCGCCACGGCCTGTCGCGATGGGGCTCGGGCAGGTCGGCCTGCTGGGATCGAGCCTCTCAGCGGCGCGCCCGGCCCCCCGCCCCGTGCTCTGCGGTGGCGCCAGGGCCTGCCTCCCCTTGCCCCGTGGCCAGGCCACCCATGGACCCAGTCTCATCCATCCGTCCGTCCTTCCTTCCTCCCCCCCCCCCGCAGGAGAAGTCTTTGATTACCTCGTTTCCCATGGGCGCATGAAGGAGAAGGAAGCACGGGCCAAGTTCAGACAGGTGGGGCAGGAGACGTGGGACCGAGCCCCCGAGCCCGGGGGCTCCCAGCACAAGGTGGAGGGGTTGTGTGTGACAGGAGCTGGTCCTCGCCGCCCCTTCAGAGAAGTCCGGGGGGTCTCGTGGGGGGAACATGGGCAGCTGACATTTGCCCTGTGGAGACTCCCGGCAGCTCCCCGTGGCCTCGCATGGCCAGCGATTGATTTCCCCAGCTGCCCCGGGAGATGCGCATCGATCCCTTTGTCCTGGACCCAGGTGCCTCGTGCTGCTCCTGGCCAGGGGGAGGTGTGCCCCCCGCTGGGGCTGGGGCTGGGGCTGGGGCTGGGGCTGGGGCTGGGGCTGG